TAACTATTTAATCTAAAAATATTAGCAAACAAATCAGTACAACTATTTAATGGTTAAGCAAATTAAGAGTCAAAATGCAAACAAAACTTATTTAAAATCAAACAAGGGATCAAAAACAAAATTAGAACGAACTTGTAATTTTATTTTCAAAGACAATTTATTAATCGACTAATGGCTTGACTCTCTAAAGGTCCTCAGTAGAGTCGCCAAGCTGTCGAAATGGTTTTTTTCGTGATGAGATTTTAAAAACCACACCAATTTTTAATTATTCTCATCAGATTAAATTTAAATTAAAAGTGAATTTGATTTTAAAAAAAAAACTCTCGTTTCAAAAAACTTGGGATTTTCTTTACGAATAAAAAACACGATTCAAAGATTCACCATCAATCTTTAATTAGGGTGTGATTGGGCACCCAAAAAAAATATATTTTCTATTTTAATAAAATATTAATTTTAATTAAAAAGACAAACTTGGGGTTTATGTTACCAAAATTTAAGTTCGGGAGTCGGTTACGTGTGGGGAAGGATTAGCACCCCCACAACGCCCTAAATCGATACCTAGTCGATTAATTAATTGTCTTTGCAATAAACTTTACAAATTCGAACTTAATTTGACTTTTGATCTCATAAAACAACAAATATGAATTTTACAATATTCAAAAACAACTAAATAGATTAAATTAAAATTATCGAGTTTTTAGAAAGATAAAGAATATTCGATTATTTAAAAATATCGAGATCAGATCTTAGATGAGGTATAACAACCTTTTCTCGACAAATTTAAATAGTCGAACATTTCTTTTTCTTCTATTCCCAAATTTTAAAGTGATGAATCAATTTTTAGGTGTTACTAATGGGATATACTTCTAATTTAAAATCGTCAAAAGCGGATATTTAATACGTTAAGACAACCCACTTAAAACAATTTTCAATTAAAATGATATTACCCTTAATCCAATTATGTAACGATGTCAAGTTATGCACGTGAGGGTATCATGCAGATCGAACGAAAAATACATGCAATTATATCAGTATTTTAACAATTAAATAAAATTCATATGACTTTACACGTTAAATTAATTGATGAAATTAAAAGACAGAAACCCATTTGATGTAACGACTATTATTTACTATGAGATACACGCATGGTGCATACATATATATATATATATATATATATATATATATAATTATATATATATAGCATGCACATGAATACAAGACATAAAAACCCACCATTTGTACAACAAGCATTTATATAAAAATATATATTAACTTAATGAGCATAAACAATATTTCTTACATAAAATAACTCATTCACCCTAAAAACATGTGAACCTCCACTAGCATAATATGGTCTATTTATGCATGAACCTAACCCCACTTGACTCCAAAACATGGATCACCTAAACTTTTGGCAATTTAGTGGATGATTTATAAACTATGTTTAGTGGGTTTAATAACGAAAAGATTCATCTTTTATGCTATATCAATTAACAACCATAAATATACTATTAATATTATTTACTTAAAGTTGAAAATAACATTTAATAATATAATATGTACATGCTATATATATAAATGTCATTATAAAATTAAATCTATTGCTAACAAACCAAATGAGCTGAAACGAAATGAGGTATAATTAAACATTCAATCTTAATAATTAGAAAAGGGATTAAAATAAAAATGTGCTTAACTAATAAGGGTATGAAAAGAATTAATCCAAAAGAATAAAAAACAAAAAAACAAAACTGAAAATTACCGACAACAGGACAAATAAAAAATAAAATTCGAAAATGATCCTACAGGTGACTAAACTGAAAATACGCGGTTAAAGCTAAGGGGTACGAGAGCAAATTACCCTAAAATCTTGGTGGCTAAAAATTAATTAACCCAAACTATTTAATATAAAAGCTACATTGAACATAAACCTAATTAAATCACGCAGAACAACACACACAACAGCTTTACCCCTCTCCAATCTCTCTACTCACAACCGATCAATGGGATATATTGCGGTCAAGAGTAGCTCAAGTTTTGGTGCTCAAATAAAACTTTATGTGTTTTCGTTGTTCTACTACAAAAAGAGTGAGTTATTCAATTTGCATCTGAACTTTGGAAAAACTCAAGCGAACTCTCGCCTCGCCTTGCTAGCCTTCAAACCGAGACCTTCGAGACACCCCTCACACCGCTCAAAACCAATCCATTGCTTCACAACCTCAGCTTATCCTTTCTCTCGTCTAACCTCTAAAACGACTCTTAAGCCACCATGAAAGACTCTTAGACCTCGAGACCATCGGCTCCCTTTCTATTTATTTTTCAGTTTCAAAATATTACAAGCACACACAAATAAACATGAAAGAAAAATGAAAGTAGAAATTTCAAATAAACATTTCTTGTATTGTCTTATGTAAAAGGGATGGACAAGATTACATTTCTATTTGTTCGAATCAGAAACAGAACCTCCCTCTTTACACTAGAAGTCCTCTTACAAAATGTTTTCCCCCTTATTTTTGCTGATTTTTGAATGACCCAGCTCCCCTCCGTATTCCTTTTCCCCCCTCTTTATGCCTTCTTCTTTGTTGTTGAATGATCTGGCATCGAGTATGTGGGATTTGTTTTTTAATGGATTTTCGGTGGAATAAATTTGATTTGGTTTAGTGGATGGCTAATTTAGGTGTTATTTGGTATTATTTGCATATGAGTGGAAGTATGGGTGGCAAAAGGTTGTCTTCACGTGGGGGAGGCAATGGGCAAAAGATGGGGCATTTATAAAAAAATGATGTGTAAGAAGCATGGGGTTTGAATAAGAAAATGGTGCTCACAAAATGCTCGAACAAAATGAAGATACGAATAAATCTGACTGCATCGATAAACGAACTACAAAAGGGGATAAGGCTATTGAAAAACCATCGACAAATCGTAAATCAAAGTCAATCGACATGAGAAAACTATCCACAAAAGCAAAACGCATATCCAAATCAATCCAAGGGTCCAAAGCATGGAAGATTAGCATGATAACAAATAAGCGCCATCTTGATCAGTCATGACGTTGTCAAATTTAACAATGAGAAAAAAAGATAAATGAAAATAACGACCAAACAACCGAAAACTACAAAAAGACAAAGATAAATGTGTCACAAAAACATATTTATTCTTGTCATAAAAAACTATAATACCAAAGAGAAAAAGATAACCGACGATCGATAACCAACATCAAAATTGGTACCGTCGTCAGCTAAACAAAAATTAAAGAAGAAAAAGTTGATTTAATCAATAGAAGAAGACATAAATTATAAAGAAAAAAATAGGAGGGAAGGGAGGAAAAAAGCAGCCAGTGATATTTTAAATTTTAAATTAATTAAAAATATCATTTAAAATTTCCACTGTTAACATAAGCACCAATTTATCATACAAGCGTGTGCTTTGTTAAATTGAATTGCTGTTTTTAAATTTTAATATTATTAATTTCTAACTGAATTTTGGACTTGGCTGAATGATGAGTACTACCAATTCCTATCCACATGTCCCAATTTTAATCCCTTTAATATTAACTTTGATTTCATAATTTGTATAATCAGATGTTACACATATATTTTGATTTAAATATTAAATTTATTAAATTAATTTAAATTATTAAAATTTATTAATAATAAAAAATGAATGCATAATTATACAAACCTTTTAACTGTTGCATTAATAATTATCTTAATTATTAACAATTTATAGTTCGATTGATACCATAATTTAAAAAAATTAACTCGATGATCAAAATAAAATCGAATCCATAATTCAATGACTATTTGGATAGTTTAGCGTAGAGAGTAAAGGGGTCAACAATGATAAAATTACTCCAATAATATATTGAAATAAAATTTAAAGTATAAAAAGAAATTTTTTTTTCAACTATGATCTTTGGTACAATATCATTGAAAGTTGTCTCCGGACCACACAAAAATTATATATATATATATGATCAACTAACGACTTTTAAAACATTACTCAATTATCATTAATATTGTGTAAGCATGAAATCCAAAAAAAAACCGTTTTATACTCTAGATAATTTCAAGAAGTCGTTAAATATTCTAAACGATTTTCAATAAACATCTTATTTAGGGATGAACATGGGTTGGATTAAGTCGGATTTTTTACCCACCCGACCCGAGAACAACGAATCTTCCACCTGAGATCCGACCTAATCTGACCAAAATACGGCCCGAACCCGACCTGATATATAACTTAAAAATCCGACCCGACCCGAACTAATAAAAGAATATTATTTTTATTCAATAAAAATATGGACTTAATTGAAAAAAATAATATATAGATGAGTATTATTATAATTATTCCTAAATATATAAAGTAAAATTAGATATTTTTTCAGGTCAGGTCAAGTATTTTTCACCCTAAACCCGAACCCGACCCGAACATCACATTTGAAAAAACATAACCAGACCCGAACCTATTTTTTTTTTAAAAAACAACCCGATCGAATTAGATCAAGTCAAAACCCATCGAATTCAGGTCGCATGCTCATCACTAATCTTACTTGAAAAAGTAATTCTCTATATACTCTATAAAATAAGAAAGCCAACGCATTATTAAAAAAAAATACACCGGCCAAAAAAGTTTGAGGGAGAACTTAATAAAATAAATATATTCTAAATGCTAATGGTTGATTATGGTGTTTAGGTAACACGTCAAGACTTGTTCAAGTGGATTATGAACTTTTTATCAACTGAAAATACGTGGAGATCTGTAAGCAAATGAAGTTGATAATGGCCTCCATTCTAGGGCCTTGGACCAACGTCATTCACATTTTACCCATTGACAAACTTAGATTAGAAGTTAGCACCAACATTCTGGAATTCTCTCCGTCTCTTTCGTCGTACACGCAGAATTGGTTTTACCGGCCCTAAAAAAAATTTGTTCCCAGAACCAAGATTCAAGAGCCGATTTCGATTGCCATACCGTGAGCTGTTCATCGACATACATTAACAACAATGAAACTTTGCCTTAATTTCACCACAAGGTGTCTACAGGAGATCCTCATAAACCCCATCATACATAGTCAATAACACAACAATGAAACTCTGCCTAAATTTCACCCTTAATTTATTACACTCATCAAACAAATAACTGGCGAAGAGATGCAGGAAAATATACATGCTAGCAATATATGTTCACTGAAAAAAAAATAAGCAGAAGAGAGCAGGTAATTTAGACTAGAAGAGTTAATTAATTAACAAGGGATCTGTTCGGTGAACCATTCCATGACATGAATTGGAGCTTTGACCAACTCCAGCGCCATCTCCACTAGCACCGTCACGCACAAACAACAAGGACAGATCAGTGTCAACAACAACCTGCAAAACACTCCACAATTGAAACCAATAGAGAACAATGGCTCGTTGATTGGTGTAGAGAAATTAAGACCCAGATTCCAAGACTTACCCCACGATCCAAACAACAACGCCGATAATAGAGATGATAAGAGAAAGAAGAGCAAAGGGAAGGCCGAGGAGGAAGCCCAGTGGCCTGCAATTTTCACAGCACATGATTTTCTTGGTTTTTTTTCTCGCTTTACAGAATATTTTTCTTTTTTCTTTTTGGGTGTGGTGTGCAAAGTAAAGGCGACAGAGGAAAAAAGATAGGCTTCTGAGATTTGACTTTTAGATCATGACGATGTTGTCCTTTTTTGGTATAATTATTTAGATCGTCACGGAACTTTATTTTTCTCTCATTTATTCTATTTTATTTTAAATCCGTTTAATTTTCTCACTAAATGTAACATAATTACATTTTTTGTCATCCAGTCGTTTTCTCACTTAATGGCATTATAAAGGAGTTGTTATATAGATGTAAAATGACATTATTTTGTAGAAAAATTTATTTTTCTAAAACAAAATCGTTTTAACGTCGTTAAATATTTAACAGGTAAATGACAAAAAATGCTAATATATTAAATTTAGTGAAGAAATTGAACGAATTTAAAGTATAGTGAGCAAAATAGAATAGATAGTAAAGTTTAATGATGATTGGTGTAATTTACTCAATTATTTAACACAACTTTTTTAACACTCACACCAATTAAATCATGAGAAAATAATCCCAGTAACCGAAAATGCCTTATAATATACAATTTTAACCAACTTTTTTTGGATTTGCCAAAATGACCAACAAAATCGCAACGCGATATTAAATTCGCAACGCGAACTCTAATTTTTCAACTCAGTTTCCAAATTCGCAACGTGATAGTAAGATTCGTAACGCGATTTTGAAAAATGTGTTGCGAGAGTTTGAAAAACGTGTTGTTGCGATAGTGAAAAAGTGTTGCGATAGTGAAAAATCCAAAATAAGTTTATATTTTAACTATTCTAAATTCACGTGGAGTTTGAAACAATAAAGAATGTGTTGCGATAGTGTAAAAGATTCTCAAGCGTTGGCAATGTTCAATCCCACATAGTATTAGAAATACTATTGAGAATGTGTTAGATTTCCCACTTTCTTGTTGAGTGGAAGAGAATAAGGGGGACTCTCGCGCATCGCCGTCCCGTCTCGTAGTCGTGGTCGTGGTAATACGTGTCTTCGACACGTCCGCGCGAATAATATCTTTTTAGAAAAAATTCTTAAGAAACAAATGCAACGAATTTGGAAAATCGCAACGCGAACTTGGACTATCGCAAAATCGCGTTGCGAATTTGAAAACTGAGTTGAAAAATTAGAATTCGCGTTGCGAATTTAAGATCGCATTACGATTTTGTTGGTCATTTTGACAAATCCAAAAAAATTGATTAAAATCGTATATTATAAGACATTTTCAATTACTGAGATTATTTTCTCTTAAATCAATCATCTAATCAACTTCCTAAATTGCCAATTTCTTGTTTTACTCACAACCAACGTAATTTTACTAGAAATATATTGTTCTTTTATTTACTATAACATTACCTACAATTTTTATTTTAAAATATTTTTTTGACCAACCAAACGACTTTAATAGTGTATGAATTATTGTTATTATTTGAAGTATCAGGTTCGAACACCAAAATGTCAGAGATATTAATGTTCAATGTTAAATGATTAAAAATTATCTATAAACAAATATTATTTTATACTTACTTTAGATTAATAACAAAATTTAAATAATATTTTTTTTATAAAGGCCCCTAATGTAGTCTCTTTTTTAGAAGGTAAGATTTTGTTCGATGCTCTTTTATTTATGTAATAATATTTTTGTGTGCAGCTTATAATGTTGATAGTGTTCAAAATCTAAATGAAATAAATAAAAATAATTAGTTAGAATTAAAAAAATAAATTAAAAGGCTCTTATCTAAAAATAAATAAAACGTGTATAATATATGTCAAAAGACACGTAATTATATGAATATAAATTGATTGTCCAATAATAACGACCTGTATATATAAAATTTATCTTCAATTATTAAATAAATATATCTTTAAAATTTATATTTAAACAATTAAAAAATCTCATAACTAAATAAGTCTATAAACGAACCGAACGTTCAACGAATCATTCGTGAACCGTTCGGTAGGAAGTTTATTTATGTTCATTTATTTATTAAGCGAACAAACACGAATAAGATTTTATGTTCGTTTAATTAAATGAACTAACACAAACAAATGGCTTATTCGTTCATTTATCTTAGTGAACTTTCGATAATTCATTTTATTTATGTTCGTTTATGTTCGTTCATTTATATTTAGCCAAATCTCTAGACATGTTTAAAAATATTAAGACCTAATAAATTTTAGCCTTAAATCCATTAATATTTTAAAACCCAAATAATTTTAAGATCAAATAAAAATACTCAAATCAATTAAAAAATATAAATCCTAAAATTATTTGTAAAGAAAAAAAAATTGTTCTCAAATATTAAACCAAATAATTTTATGTCCGTTCGTTTGTATTTGTTCATTTATGTTCGTTTATCATTTTAACGAACCAACATAAACGAACACTAACAAACTAAATTTCTTAATGAACGAACACGAACAAGAAATTTCGTTCGTTTGTTCGGTTAAAATTAAACGAACGAACATGAACATACACTTATTCGTATTAGTTCGATTCGTTTATAGGCCTATAATTAAGTAATGTCTAAAATTGATCCAGATAAATGATGATATGTCTCCAATTAAAGCAACTCTTGCAACCTTGGAGGATGACATGAAGCTTTTTGTAGAGGTATTTCGTGACTGTATTAAATTATTGGTCTTGTTATTAGCATGAATTAATCGATTTTAGTAATTCAATGGATGGTTGTAATTTTTGAAGGCCTCAAATTCAAGTAAGATGTTTACAAGATAATTTGAACTTTTAATATTAAACAATTGAAAATCTTTCAAACATATATTATCTTTTAATCACCCTTTACTAATAAAAGAAAGTACACAGATTATTTGAACTATTAATATTAAACAATTAAAAATCTTCCAAATATATACTATCTCGTAATCACCCTTACTAATAAAATAAAGTATGCAGATTATATAGCTAAACTCAAGCTGTCAAGGGATTCAAATAAAGCTATCATGGCCAAAGAAAACAATAATCCGAATGGCATTCAAATTAATAAAGCAAGTAGTGAGATTATTGAGGTGTAGGCAAGTCTTCCTCGGTTGGTGGAGCCATTTCCCCCTCTCCCTTGTCATTTCTCACCATCCCTTTGTTCTTCTCCACCCACCACGAACCTGGCACCAAGCACTCATCTTTCAAAAACGCACAAAACTTGTTCACCAAGGCCAAACTTTTCTTCACTCTCACCTTAAACTCTCCCCTCTCTCCATTCCACCCTGCTACTACGTGCAACATTGCCTCTAAATTATACCAATCGCGGGGATTCGTCGAGTCCTTCAAGCTCGGCGACGACCTCGTATCGATGATGAATTCGGTCCCATATGAACGTACCCCAACAACAAGCTAGGCTAATGAGGAATGATTTCAATTGTGTTCCTTGTATGTAAAACTGCAAGATTTGGATACCTCTTCATCCTATCATCAAAAGCCTTATTCCCCACCTGTGGAGAACCAAAAACAATGGCTGCAACAGGAATATTGTTGACTAAACCATTCTCAACCACATCAAAAGCACTTAAAATTGATATACTAGCCCCCATGCTATGTCCTGTAAACACTATGCTTTTATTTTCGTCCTTATATCTCTGTTTCAACTCTTTGATCTTTCTTTGATCTTACCCAGAAGTTGTGCCCTTGCACTTTGTTTTGTAAAACTTGATTTGGGATCGTCGCAAATGTAAAGCGTCAACCAGCCGAGCATCACTTTAGGCTGCTGCTCGTTTTCATTATCACTGTCACTGCTACGTAAAAGGGGTTCAACAGACTCAAGCTTGGCGTCAAGAACATCGATCCACTCGTAGCCTCTGGTTGTTCCACGCCACACTAAGTAGATCTCGCGGCGACCGAGAGCTTTCGATGTTTCGTCCGTCGTGGTGGCGATGTAGCCGATCCAGTTGGATTCGTGGTCCCGGGACTCCTTTGACATGGAGTGGAGCAAAAACGCTTCGGGAACACTGACGCGGGCGGTGGCGTAGAGAAACGACTCGACTCTGTAATCGGCGGCCGATTCTAGCATTACTTTGTGGAAGAAAGATGACTTGCCGTAGCGGCTTGAGCCGCAGAACTAGGAGTTTTGGTATTCGTTGAAGGAGTCGTATGTGGACTCGGAGAAGTCACCGCAGCGGAGTATGAGCTTACGAAGCGAGAGGTGAAGAGGATCGAGAAGCGAGTCCCACTGTTTGCTGCCGAGAAGCTCCTCCCATGGAGGTTCCGGTCCTTCATTTGCGGCCGTGAGCAAGCTAGCTGCCCACAAAGGTGCAGCGACCAAGAAAATAATGCATATGGCTTTGGTTGTTTGTATGGTCAGTTGAAAGATTGAATAAAAGAGAAAATACATCTTCTCTAAAGCCGAGAAGATCATAATCAAAAGATCAATAATTAATATTTATTTTAAGAATAATAACAAATAAATTTAGAATTTCAATTTCAATTTTCTTTGAAAATCAATAACAATCAAGGTAAAAATTAATAACTTTAAGAGGGGTTTGATTCACATAAATAATTATTATCAGGAATAATTTTTTTTCTCGGAATCACATCCTCAAGTTTGATTGAAGAACATTCTCCCTCGGGATAATAAAGTATTTCTAACACTTATAATTTTTAGATATTTTTCCGATAATATCATTCTCTCATTTTTCTTAGGTATTAGACAATTCTCTCTTTTTTTAATACAATAATACCCCTAAAATAAATTAATTATTTCAAAATAATTCTTACTTTTGTATATAATTACATGACTAAAAATTTATTTTATTTCTATTTTAATTATTCTAAATTTTTTTTAATACTTATTATAAAATAATATGATGCTTATAAAATAAAAAGTAAAATAATAATATCAATTTTTATTTTATTTTGATAATTTATTATATATGTGTTCGATTCAAGTTTTATTTCTGATATGTGTTTTATTACATTTATTTTTAGGAATAATTTTCATAAAAAGTTTTCTATATTATTTTATGTTTTCTATTAATTTTGTGAAATAATTTGATATAACATTTCATTGTACAACTCATACATGTA